ATTTGGGGGGGGGGGGTGGGGGGGCTGTCTTTGAAATGGTGGCTAGTATCAGCTCTGACAATGTTTTTAAATTCTTTTATTTCAAAGTACAGTTTAAAACAATACATAAAATCATCATTACAAATGATACTTTTTTGAAACAACACAACAAAATAAAATAAAACAATTTTCAGATACACAATTCTCAAAGCTCATAAAACTTATGGCGACTTGCTTTGCTCCCTTTCAGGTCTGTATCAGCTGTGACAATACCTCAGGCACCAGGAGAGCTGTCAGTATAGTCATTGCTCTGCAGTTCTGGGTGTAAAAGTTATAGCAAAACTAATCATAATAATAACCAGAATGATATTTTATATTATAAAACGATTAATGCTCTTGCACAAACATAGTCTCCATTCACGCATAAAAAGCAATGCATTCCTATGGGGCTTGTTCACACCTGCGCGGTTGTATACGCGCACAACACAGGAAAAAGGACATGCACGATTGTTTGGCAGATTTCAGCAGGTTTTGTCCCCAGCAGACGGCAATATAGCTGCAAGCGCATGCAAAACCGCATGTCTTAAAAATTCCACGTTTAAACACGCTGGGTTCCAAAAGCCTATGTGTGAATGGAGTGTAACCCTTCAACCCTAAGGCCCCGTTCACATATAGCGACTTATTGCGCGATTTCCGCCGCGATATCGCGCATTTTTGCCGCGCGATATCGCGAGAAGTCGCCGGCCAATGCTATTCAATGGAGCTGTCTTAACTCCATGTCGCGCGTCGCGGTCGCAAGTCGCTTCTACCGGACCCTTTTTTCGGCGGATTTTGCTTTTTTTCTATGGAGCCCGACGGAGAAGGTCGCGCTACTGTCGCTGGATCGTCGCTGGAACGTCGCCCCGAAAGTCGCGCTATCCCGGCCGCTGCAAAGGTATGTCGCTACATGCGAACGGGGTCCAATACAAACTTCTTCAAACTCCAACTTCACACCTTTTTTTGTAGAACTGCAAATCTCAGCCCACCTATAAGGTTTTAGCAGAGGAGAAACACTGGGAGTTGTGGCTGCATTAGGCATTTCAGTCTGTAGAAGTTCAGAGGGCAATAAATCTGCTAAGATAGATAAGAGACTTCTCCTTATCGCACAGAGGGGGGGTCAGTGATTAGAGGATCCTAATTCAGCAATGTTCTGGGTACAGGAGGACAATTCAGCACTGTTCGTTCTGGCTACAGGGGAACTCCCAATGCAAACAGCGCAGAGGTGACACCTGAGGTCATGATTTCAGCTCTTCTATACTGGACCCCCACAGTTACTTTTCCTAATCAGCCCCCATAATAGAGCCCTCTCCTACCCCAGACCCCATAGCACCCGCAGTGGGTTGCTATGGTTATTTTTACGCCACTGCCATTAGAGTCTAGCAGAAGTTCAGAGAGCAATAACTCTGCTAAAATAGATAAGGAAATTCTCAGAAAAACATAAATGGGGAAGGAAGGTTATAGATTATATACTATGTAGCAAAACAGTATCTAGTGGTGAGTCTCCTTTAATAAATACGTTTTTTACTGATACTGTTGCATATTTGAAGTGATGGTGGGATCTCCTTGTTTGGGAAATTGTTTCTTTGTATAAGAAAATTCTCTTTGCTGCACAGAGGGGGGTGAGTGATTAGAGGACAGTGAGGTCTGACTTCAGCCCTTCTATACTGGAAACCTCACAATTACTTTTCCTAATCAGCCCCCATAATAGAGCCCTCTTCTACCCCAGACCCCATAGCTGCCAAAGTGGGTTGCATTGGGTATTTTTACACAATTGCCATTAGATGTTGGGGGAACAAGGATCTGTACACATATGTCGGGGGCGCAGGAATCTCCACTCTGTTAAATGGTGAAGGGGGGTAACCGATCTGCACACTGCTTGATGTCTATGTGGGCACACTCAGACCTGAGTTCACAGGCAGGGTGCACTGTTATTTATTGATGCAGGGGGACAATTCAGCACTGTTCTGGGTACAGGGGAACAATTCAGCACTGTTAGCTCTGGGTACAGGGGGACAATGCCACACTCCCGTTAATTCTGGATACAGGGGAACTCCCAGTACACACAGTGCAGAGGTGACACCTGAGGCCATGATGCTGTGTGCAAACCCTGGAAATCCATCTAAAGTACACTGCATACATGACTTCCTCCGACTAGCTCCAGCTCCATTACTTTCGACTGCCCCTTGCAGCACACAGAGCTGTCTGATGTCACCCGGGCAGGAGAGGCAGAAAGTTACCTCGGTCTTGGCAGGGATCAGTGAGATCTCCTGATATTCCACAACTCCTGGGAGGCGTCTGGAGGGGTGGGAAGGGGAACACCATTCATCCAGGGTGTGGCTGGGCAGAAGATTTATTATTAGACCCCAATGTAAGTAGCTTTAGTAGGCCGCAATTCAAGATGGAGAGACCAGGAAGGTTTTAAGCAGTGTATTCAAATTTTAGTGTAATGTTTCAAAGATAAAAGCCACAAAACAGAATTGGTGTACACTATGTAAGCAATTTTAGTAGAAAAGAGATTCAGTGTATTATTTTGCAGTAAAAAGTCACAAAAATTGTACAGACTCAATACACACTATATCAACAGCTTTTGGAGGCTGCAGTTACAGAGGGAGGCAAAGCACAGTATTCTGTGCAAGAATTGAAAAATTAAAGTGCAGTATGTCATGCAAAAAAAGCAACAAAAATTGTACTGACTCAATAGACACTATGTACGTGGATTTAGTAGTCTGCAGTTTGAGGGAAAGACTAGGCAGATTTTAATCAAGATATCAAAAATGGAGTGTATTTTTTGGCAAAACATCAGAACAATATTGTACAGACTTCTTGCACACTATATAAGCAGCTTTAGTATGCTACAGATCCAAAGGAAGACGCCAGGCATGTTTTATAAAGAAATCAAAATTGGATGCATTGTTTCACAGGAAAACGCCACAAAAATTGCATAGACTTGATGCAGACTATGTAAGTGGCTTTATTAGGCCACAGTATCAGGATACACTACACAGTTTTATATGCAACAAAATTAAAGTGTGGTATTTCATAGAAAACCCCCCCACAAAAATTGTACAGACTTGATGCACACGATATGAGCAGCTTTATCTGCAGTGTATGAGGGAGAGAATAGGCAGCTTTTAATTAAGATAACAAAATTATAGTCTATTGTTTCACAGGAAAAAGCCACAAAAAATTTACAGTCTCGATACACACTAAGCGGATTTAGTAGTCTTTATATTCTGAAGGAGAGAGGTTTTAATCAAGATTAAAATCCAAGTGTTTTATTTCACTGCAAATAAGCTATAAAAAGACTCGATACACACTATGTAAGCTGCTTTAGTAGGTAGCAGTTTCAGAGGGGCGGGGCTAGGTAAGTTTTAATCAAGCAAAATTAGAGTATTTCATTTCACAGAAAAAAAGGAAGGGTCACAAAATTGTACAGACTTGTTGAACATTATGTAAGCAGCTTTAGAAGGCCGCACTTTAACAGGGAAACACGAGATAGGTTTTTATCAAGAAATCAAAATTGGAGTGCATTGTTTCACAGGAAAACGCCACAAAAATTGTAGAGACACGATGCACACTG